AAGAACGCCAGCAGGCGCCGCGGGTCGAGGCGCGCGATCACCGAAGTCGACGTTGTGGACGTGGACGCGGAAGTGGCAGCAGCGGCAGCGTGCGCGCGCTCCATATCCTCCACCCGCCTCTCCACCTCTTCGATCCTCCTCCTAAACGCATCCACCATCCCGCGCAGCTCGTCGTTCTCCCTTCGCGCCTGCACGCGCTCCGCCTCGCGCAGCCGTGCGCGCTCCAGCCGCGCCTGGTGCTGCGCGCGTTCCTGTTCCCGTTCCCGCTCCAGATCTTGTTGTTCCTGTTCTTGCTGTTGTCGTTTCTGTTCCCGTTTCTGTTCCCGCTCCTGCTCCCCTACCTCGTCGCTCCCTTCCCTCACACCTCCCATCCCCGCCGCAGCCGCAAACAGACTCCCCACCCCCGGTCCTGAGCCGCTCACTACGCGCTTCACTGTGCTCCCCACCACGCCCTCGTCCGCTTCCCACGCATGCACGCCCCCCGAGTGCACCCGGCGGACCTCCGCAGGGCGGCTATCGCGGTGCTCTTGCCCTTGTCCCTCCGGCCGCCCAGGCAACGGTCGCCCCCCAACAACGCCCCCCTCCCGGCTCTTCCTGTTCTTCCCCCTCCTTCGCCAGCTCACATTCGCGCTTCCCCCGTCCCCAGCCCCACCATACCCCGCGTCCCCCCCGTCCCCACTGAGCGCCAACAGCTCCTCCACCGTCATCTCCTCCTGCCCGCCCGGCGTGTAATGTCCTTGGTGTTCGTGGTGTGCTTGCTGCTGTCCATGGTGCGCATACACCGCCCCCGGACCCCTCACAGTCGCGCCTAGATCCTCGCCATCCTCGCCATCCCCATCCGCATCAGGCCGCCGCGGCAACGCCCTTCTCGCGCGCGTCGTGCCCTCTTCCCCCTCCCCCCCACTCGCGCTGCTGCTCCCGCCCGTATCGTTCCTGTTCACACCTCCTGCATGTCCCGCACCTCGGAACCCGCTCCCCCCCTCCTGCATCGCCCTCAACCTTTCCGCAAACGATGCCCCCTCTTCCCTGTCGCCGCCCCGGAAGCCACTGCCCCCTCCGCCCCCACTGCCCCCCCTGAATCCACTTCCTCCCCCACCCCCATACTCCCCCTCACTCCCCTCCCCCTCGCTCCCACTGCTCTCAAACGACCGCACCATCCCCTGCACCCGCCCGTTCCTGAATCTGCCCGGCGGGATCGGCAGCCCATGCGACGGCGAAGCCGGCCCCTCGAACGGCCCGGCGAACGGCGAGGACGTGGACGTGTGTGCGGCGAACGGCGAAGACGTGTGTGCTGCGAACGGCGAACCCGCAGAGGGGAACGGACTGACACCGCCCAACCCGCCCTTGGACTGCGGCGTCCCCTCCTCCTCCGCGCCCTCCCCCTCCTCCTCGATCCGGCTCGGCGCGCCTATGCGCGTCGGGCTCGTCATCCTCGTCGGGCTCCCGCTCATACGCATCCCCATTCTTGTCGGGCTTCCTATCCTTGTCGGACTCGCACTTCCCATGCGCGTCGGGCTGGTACTCCCCATCATCCTCGTTGGGCTAGCCCCGTCACCCTCCCCCGCCTCCGACGAAGAAGAATAATCCGACCCAGCCTCGGGCGGCGCCCCGCGCAGGACGCTCTGCCTTAGCGCGCGCGCGGCGGGATGCAGGGCGGGTGGGGCGCTGTAAGGGGGCGAGATGAGCATGTGGGTGAGGTGACGATGGTGAGAAGATAAGGATGGCGACGGTGGGTGGGAGGGGAGGAAGGAACGGGATAAATGGGACGATGAAACGAAGAAAGGGGGGCGTGAATAGGAGGAGCAGGAGGGGTTGGCGGAGAAAAAAAGGGGAGAGTGAAAAAAGGCTGAAGAAGGTACGTGCAACGCGTATGGGGGACGGCGAGGAGGAGAAAAGAAAGAGGAAAGAAAGCAGAGCCAAGACCGGGCGGGAGGTAATCAGAAAGCAAGGACGAAAGGGTCGACGGATCAAGCTTAGGTGCCTTCGGGCTCTCATGCACCCGCCCCCCAAGCAGGCGACGGCCAAACCGCGTGCGCCGCAACACCTCCTAAATCGCGCCGCGACGGTATCGCACGTCGAGCCTTCTTCAGCTGGCGCACGCACGAAAATAGGCCCCACCGACGATGGCGACGGCGGTGGGAGCGCGTTCGAAATCATTCAATGGGGCCGCACATACGAGCGCGCCGCGCACCGTCTATAGCCGCCGTCCCCGAGCGCACGACACACAGCGCGGCGCCCACCAAGCACGATGCTGCCAACGATGCTGTTCGGTGTACCCCACGGCCAACCGACGTCGCCATCTCGCGCACGCCGATCCCGCAAAGACAGGGTGCACGAACAGCATGCGCAGGCCACCGAGCGCACAACGCGCGACGGTCCCCGAGCGCACAACGAGCGCCAAGCCCGCCACACACCGCTGCCTGCACGATCTCGCCATAGACCCTTCCGGCCCCCCGCGAACCGGTACTCCCGCATCCGCGCAGCGGATCCTACGTGAAGCGACGCGGCGGGTCCTACGGACGCCGCATCACCCCTCCTGCACGCTCGACGAGGGCCGATCCCACAGGCGGGGGCGCGGCGCGAATGCAGGACCTGCAAGATCCTGCCAGTCGCACGACCACGGCCAGCGCGCGCACGACACGCACCACGCAGCGCCCACCTGAAGATCTCGCCGCCCACCCGCCCGGCCCAGCACACCCCTACCTCCACCTCCTGCACGTTCGACGGGACCGATCCCGCAACACGCGGAAAGATGGCGCGAGCAGGGGCTCCGCGGCGCGATGCAGCGCGTCCTGCATCGACGCGACGCGACGCAGCGGACCCTACTTGACGCAATGCGCAAGGCGACTTCGACACAATGCGCGGTGTCCCCGGATACACTTGTACCCGCACATCGACACCTCCACCTCCACTCCTGCACGCTCTACGATCGACGAGAGGGTGGTTGCGCCTCTCGAGTCGGACGCCGTGCGTCCGCACGCACGGGCAAAAGGTACAAAAATTGAAAGAAAGAAAGAAAAAGGAATGGAGATGGTGGTGGGATAAAGGGCGGCGCCAGCTCGACCACCACGATCGAGGACACCCAACGTGCGTCCCTCGAGCAGCGCACACGGGCGGGCTAGAAGCACAAGACTACGTGCGGGGGTGCCCCAGGTCAGACGCGCCCCGCAAGTAGGCAAGAAACGAAACACAAAATTGAAAAAAAAGAAAGGACGCGGTGCACCTCCGACCGGTCCCGCAGGCGACGTGTGTCCCCCCACCGGACACTCACCCGCACACCGACACCGTCCTTCCTGCACGATCGAGGAGGTACCGATCCCGCGGGTGGGGACGTGACGAAGAACGTACGTCTCTCAGGCCGAACGACGTACGTCCCCAAGCCGGACACGCAGGGCGCGGCACACCTCCACCTCCCGCACACTGATCCCGCAGGCGGATGGGGTGCGACGGCGGCGCGCGTCCCTCAAGGTACCCGTGGCTTCTACACGATCGACCGCGAAGGGGGGACGACCGCCGAGGCACGAGAGTGAAGAAAAAAAAAAGAGAAGGAATCAAGGGAGACGGTGTGAAGACACGCGCGGGTATGCGTCATATGGAGCCGCATGCGAGCCGTGCCGAGGAGCGAATTGCGCCGTCTGAGGAGCGCCCAATATAGGATCAGAGCGCGTCCCCGATGGAGAATGACCAGGAGCGTACGAGGATGCACGGGCAGCGAGTCGGTCGGGGCGCTAGTAGTATCTTGCGCGAGAATGGCGAGGAACTCGCCCGAGGCACACTGCGCGATCGCGAGCACCCCCACACCGGCCAACTGATACCGACGCACGAAACGTATGTGGAGCGCAGAAAACGAATCATGGAACGGGGAAGAAGACGTAGGGGTGAAACGGTCAAGGTGGAGAGGGTGAAATAGGGGAAAGAAGATGAAAACACGTACCCAAGCCTCCCAAGCTCCTCCTCGCCCATGCGCATAAAGGCACGGCCGCCCACGCCGCGGCGCGCGGTCCACGCGCCGGCCTCGCCGCCGAGGTATGCGGCCAGCTGTGCGGGCGTCCAACGCTTGGGCGAGATGGTGGTGGTTATTCCTTTATTGTCTGGCGTGGTGTCTGTCCCGTTATATGCAATATTAGTTTAGAGGACAGGGAATATAAGGATAGAAAGGAAACGCACCGAACCCGGGCGGCACCGGCAGGGCTCTTGGGCTCTCCGCAGCGACACCCCCGTACGCCATCCCCTCGCTCGAGCTTAGGCTGCGCGAGTAGCGGTGCCCGCGGTACTCGCCCTTCCTCTCGCCCGCCGCCTTCCCGGTGCTGCCCCCACCATTCCCATCCCCGCTAGCACTGGCGTTGCTGCTGGTTCTCTCCCGGTGCGGCGAGGGGTGAGGGGACGGCGGCGGCACGTAGTGGTGCCGCCCTCCATTCTGCTGCTGCGAGCTGGTGGAGTTGGAGCGTGTGAGGAGGGCGGTAGATGTTGTGCGGATAGGGTATGGGTGCGCGTTGGGCTTGAGGTCGTCGATACTGGGACTGCGGTGCGGCGAGCCTATGGGCATAATCAATAAATTAAATTGGTAAGATTCGCAGTAGTAGGTATATACCTCCAGCAGGGGAGTCAAAGAGCGAGTTGGTGCGCGACCGCGGCGTGGACGAGCTATTCACATTCGTGGTGGTGTTGTTATTGGTGCTATTCTCCCGAAAACGAGACGTAGTCGGCGATTTTGTGGGCGAGGCGGGGCGCGGAAAGGCGAGTGGCACAGGGCCAGGGCTGGATATCGTCGACATCGTTGGTGTCGTCGTCCGTCGTCGGGAGCTCAAGCCTCAGATGAACGAGCACGACGTCAGTCTCAGTGGGTGGGAGAAAGAACCAGCCGAAAAAGGAGATGCTTGATTTGGTCATGATTGGTTAGGAGGCCGGGAGTTGCCGGGCTTGGTTCAAGTTCAAATTATGGTGAGGTATTAACGTATATGAACCGCCACACATATCTGCGGCATAGATAGTGCAGGAAAGCCTCGGTGGATCATGGTGGATCGTCCCTGTTACTTCAGTCGGTATGTGTACCACCAGTTCTACAGCGGGAGGATGAGGGTTCGAATCCCTCTCGAGGCATAAATGAGGATGTTGAGACTTTTTTTCATGCAACACATTATGCGGATTATTTTCCCGCTGTACACTACACATTTGTTTTGCGCGCGACCCAGATAAACTTCACTTGACCTCAAACTCGCTGATTGATTGATATTTTATTCGGGGCGGTCTATTACAACCTCCTTTCGCACTTACAATACCTATCCTCAAATAAGAGCAGGAACGCCTCGGTGGATCGTTGGTAGATCACCCCTTCTCCGTTCTTTGAGCGATTTCATCTATGAGATCATGGGAGGATGAGGGTTCGAATCCCTCCCGAGGCATAAAGTATTGGTAATACAGCCTGTCTTTTTTTTCCTCGTCTGCTGCAGGTTTTTCTGCATTAGTTCCTATAGTTGACTAAGTAGAACTAGGAGAACAAAGGCGAATCCGCGGTATTTTATTTCATTAATTCGGATGGTGATGGCTGAAGCAGAGGTGGGCGAACTGCATAAAAATCACTGCACTGTAACCTATTCAACCTCCAAAATACGGAGAATAAGCCTTGGTGGATCAATTGGTAGATCATGCCTACTCAATTAGGTGGTCATGGCGCAAATTATACGTAGTAGGAAGACGGAGGTTCGAATCCTCCCCAAGGCATTAACGATGACGTTTATCTCTTTTTTTTTTTCATCTTCTCCCTTCTGGAACACACTATACATGCTCGGGGTGCCAGAAATTATGTGCAGTCGACCGAATACTCAGAAAAACAAAAATGAATTTGATGTTCATTGTACTTCTTGTGTACTTGCATTCAAGTAATAAGCGGCCACAAAGCTGCAAAAGAGACAGGCAGCTCTCGGATAAATCACAGCACCTACTCAGCCTCCAACTGTAGAGGATAAGCCTTGGCAGATCAATGGGCAGATCATCCCTACTGTTTACTTGCGGGTGTACTAGGGGAAGCCGAAGGTTCGAATCCTCCCAGAGGCATGGGTTTTCAGTTATGAAGCGTGACTTTTTCGTTCTTGCCTTGCATGTTCCTCTTGTTTCATTGTGTCATTTCAAACACACCAGTCTCTGTGTTCATCCACGCATATAGAATTTCCCAACCAATTGAAGTCCACAGTCATTCCATTTTTGTTTGCTCCGATATCTAATCGTAGCTTACAATGCTGAAAAGGGACCCGCCGCATCCAGAGACTTCTCGTACCTATCCAGCCTCAAAATACAGATATTAAGCCTTGGTAGATCAAGCAGATCACCCCCACTCAATGATCGGCCACTATATTTTACACTTGGGAAGACGGAGGTTCGAATCCTCCCCAAGGCATGGCAACGATACCTTTAAAGCCTTTTTGTTCTCACTTTTTGTTTTCCTCATCGTTTCAGTTCTTTCAAACCCCGCCAGTCTGTGTGTTCACCTACATACACACGTAGAATTTCCAAACCGATTGGAGTCCACATTCATTCAATTTTGTTTTGCTCAGATAATCAATAGCTGACAGGATGCAACTCGCACAAAAGTCTCAACACCTATCCAGCCTCGAAATACGAAAAATAAGCCTTGGTAGATCGATCAGCAGATCTACTTAGTTATTTGACTTCGAGTTGCATAACCGGGAAGACGGAGGTTCGAATCCTCCTCAAGGCATTGATCTGTTCTTGCGTGGATTTTTTTTTCCATCGTTTCAATTCATGTGCCGCTCTACGAACTCAGATGTAGAATGGCCAACCCAATTGTAGTCCACATTCGTTCGCTTTTTGCTCAGATATTTGGTTGATTGGCAAGGTTGAAAAATCGACCTGCAGTAGCACGAAAATTACTGCATCTATCCAACCTCCATGAAAATGTTAAATGCCTTGGTGGAACAACTGGCAGATCGTCCTAGTCTTATATTTCAAGTTGTTCCGCGTAATCCGTGCGAAGGCGGAGGTTCGAATCCTCCCCAAGGCATGCACCAAGCGCTCGGCAACTTTTTGTTCTTGCCTTTATGTTCGCCGTGTTTCATTCGAGAATCAGAACATGCCAGCCTGTGCATTCATCTACACATGTAGAATTGCCGAACCAGCTAGAATCCACATTCATTCTATTTTGGTTTGCTCATACAGTATTTCAAATATTCAAGCGTAGCTTAGAAGGTTGGAAATAGACATGCGCACAAAAATTACAGCACCTATTCAACCTCTGAAATACTGAGAATAAGCCTTGGTAGATCAAATTGGCATATCATCTCAGCCGTAGTTCGTGGGAAGACGGAGGTTCAAATCCTCCCCAAGGCATCTTGATACTTTCAAACACTTTTTGTTCTTACTTTTTTGTTTTCTTGATCGTTTCAGTTCTTTTAAAACACGCTAGTTGTGATGGAATATCATTCTATTCTTAGAACCTCCAGCACTCGGATCGAACACCTGAGAACTTTGTCGAATATTCTTCTCTTTTATAGAAATACATGGAACTCAGTAGAATATTCTTTAGCTACCTTTATATAGCTGTAGATAGTCAAAGTCCTGGATCTGACATCTCAATCACATACAATCAGTTGAACTGACATCTGCGTGAACTTAAGTGACGCCGCGAGCTCATTAAGAACTTACCGCCAACTAACTCTACAAGTAACGCTATAAGCTTGCTTCACGGTTAGCAACGCAATCCTAAGAATACGGAGACGTATCCCGTGTTCGCGTCCAACGAAGATACAAATCTCGTTGTTCGGTTGCTAAGGTAGATCCGTACTGACTTGCCGTTGATTATCTAGGAACTTGAACTATCTTATCTTTCTCGTACAAACTAAAGAACGCAGGCTATTTAAGCTCAAGCCTGCGCTCGGCACTCCGCGCACCCGGTTTCGCTTACACTGGTGGACACATTGGGAAGTTCCTTGTTTAAACAACAGTTGAGTAATCTACATTTCTACCTTTCAACTCCTCTGCCATGTCTACGACCACTGTCCATGGATTTGGCAGTAATCATCCCCACACATCTACTCCTCCCCGTGGTCGTTCAGAAGATCAGACAGAGCCTGATTTTGAGGCGGCGGCACAGTTTGAAGATGTACCGCTTCAAGATTATAACGGCCCTCTTGATGATGATTCAATTGATACATCCTCCCCGATTGTGAAGGAGCGTATCATGGTCCCAACTCTGAGACCTCTTTCTAAAATTGGGAACAATGCTCAGATAGCAGCCCGCAGAGCTGAAGCTTTGGCCAAGGGTGCGACTGGCACTGGAAAGGACTTTCTACTTGATGCATCTACTGCCTCACGAAGACTTTTTCGCCACATCTTTCAGAAAGAACTTCAATTGCTCGATACCTTGCTTACCGAGGTTGAGAGACTCGAGGTTCTCGGAGGCGATCCTGGTTTTCGTGTCCAAAAAGACCATTTCCGGCTGTTGCTTCGTGTTCTGCAAAAACTTCGTACTAAGGCAGATGATTCATTCCGCATTGACGGTAAGACTCCGCCTCCGCTCCCCACCTGGGGTGACGATGAGGACATTCTCGGAGTGTATGATAAAAATTCATTCGAGATACTTGGAGTGTGCTTCCGCACTGAGGTTGAGAACTTTCTCGTGCTTTTGGACAGGTATTATAATTTTCCTGAACAGAGGGCGCAAGACCGACACGTTGATCTTGACAGCGCAGCTGATCAATTCATAGAGAAATCTCAACCAGCAGTGCATCTGTCTTCTCAACATGACGATCACGGCGATATGACAAAAGCAAGCGAATCAACTACTTATCCGCTCCGCAATGTCTCACTCGCCCGCTTCGGTTCTGCAGCATCCAATAATGTCCTACCTCGGAACAATCCGCGAATGGGAGAGATTTTGCGGCCAATGGCGTCGCTATTCCACTCCGGACGTGAGCACGCAGTTCAGAGTTTAGCAACTCGGCCCGAAGAAGCCGCACAAATGAGACGCATGACGCCTCAGGGGAATCTTGGGGGCAGAGACGTACCACCACATGTTCCGCAAGGAAATGTAGTGGGACGTAACTCAGGAACCCGTTCTCCTTCTGCTTTTCGACGAGGTGGTGCGCCTCCTGCGGGTAATCCGGATAGTAGTGACGACGACAGTGACGATGACCGTGGAAATCCAGGTCGTCGTCGTTCAGCACCATTCCGATTGCCTGGGGATAAAAAGGGCACGGCGAACGCTGCAAAAGTTCTGTCTGCAGGTAGTGGTTCGAATTCTTCGAAAGTAGCTCATTTTGACTTCAAATTGAAGTATGAGAACGTACCCAAGTGGGATGGAAACGTTGATACCATAATCAGGTGGATGTTAAAAATAAACGACATCGCCCGAGAATCCGAAACCGTCTTCGAACAGTTGGGCCGTGTGGTTCCTAAACGGCTAGAAGGCGCAGCGGAGGTTTGGTATTGGTCACTACCCATTAAGTATCGATCCGAAATTGAGGAAAACTGGGATACTTTGAGAAAGGCTTTTCAAACATACTTCCTGAATCGTAAATGGTTAGACCAACAGCGAGGTCGAGCAAATAGAGCAACTTACCGGGACTCTGGCCATTCACGCGAGACCCCAAGTGAGTACTTCATTCGTAAGACCGAACTCCTCAACAATGTGTATACCATGGATGATTCCGAGATTATCTTAGAGGTCATGGATGGTGCACCTTCAACGTGGAATACCATCCTTACCACTCAGATGTACCGGGACATCGTCGAATTTCAGGCTGCAGTTCGTTATCATGAGGATGCCTTGATGAAATTGGACCGTCAGGAAAGAGACAGCACTTACCGTGAACGCGAACGTGATCGAGATCGCGATCGTGATTACCAGCGAAATAACCCTCGCACGGCGCGCGTTAACCTGGTTGGTTGGTCTGAAAATTTAGGGCCGCCAAAGTTTCCTAAAGATGACCGGAATGTTTCGAAAAAGGCTACGCCTGAATCTAAGGGTGCGAGGCCTTGTCGACATTGCGGGAGCGGGAAACATTGGGATAACGAATGTAAGCACTCTTTCAAGGGAAATCGAGCGGCACGAACCAACTTGGTTACCGCCACTGGCGAGGACCATGAAGCGCAGGATGATTACGATGACCTGTATTATGGATTAGACAGCGAAGAGTCGGAGATTGAAGAGCCACCGAAGCAGGATTTTGAGGAGCCCCTCAGGATTACTGGATCGAATGATTCGGGCCTGGGGGGGAATAATGGGTCAAATGTCTCGTTAAAGGACTCAGATGACACGGCTTCGGTTACTATCTCTGAAAATGATACTGTTGAAGTCGCTGTACAGGCGGGATCGACTGCTTGCACAACCTATCGAGCCAGAGGCGATAAGCTTGCTCTGAATAGGAGAACGAGAAGGCGATTAGCTAGAGAAATCAAGGCAGTCAATTATCGTGTTGTGCACTCGCCAGGTAATAAATCCGGCAATCCTGTCATAGAATTACGGAAATATATGGCCAGGCCCGCAGGCTCCTCATTCCTCGGCGCATATCCTACAGAAACATCAGCTACCATTGGTGGTTTGGACGTAGACCCCATCATCATCATTGTGGATACCGGCTCGGACATCACTTTGATATCGCAAGAGGCCCTGGACAACCTGACTAACCCACCAAAGTTGAAGTCAGGACATCAAGTCAATTTGATCCAGGTAACAGGCACGTCCTCGATATCCGGATTCGTGACGCTGGACCTATTCTTTCATACAGATCAGGGCCCGGTGAAATTGAATGTGGATGCCTATGTGGTAAAGGGGATGACGACTCCATTCATCCTAGGCAACGACTTTGCAGATCAATATTCCATTTCAATATTGAGGGATGAAGGAGACTCTTATCTGCGCTTTGGTACCTCTGGACGGCATCTCAAGGTAGAAAGCTCCACTTCGGCTTCGATGATAGACGATGAAGGGCACGCTTTCAAGGTGAGAGTCCGGCCAGGAGCCAATCAGAATGGTCGGAGAGCGAAGATTCACCGTCGGAACCAGAAGCTTAAGCGCAGAAATCGCATGCGGCAGGGTAGATCCGAGGTCTGGGCTACAGAACGAGTCGTGATCCCGCCCGAGACCAGTGTGGCAGTTCCCGTACATGCATTTTTCCCAAAGGGTCAAGATGCTGTGTTTGTCGAACGACGAATGGAGGCCCATGGATACGGAGATGAGATGTCCGGATCTGCGGACACATTTGTTTCTAGAAACAACCCCGTCCTGCATGTTGCCAATTTCTCTGGTATAGCTGTCACAGTCTCGAAAGGACAGTTACTCGGGCTCTCCAGAAATCCAAAAACGTGGTTGGACAAGATGAGCAAGTATTCACGGAGCCAGCAAGTTCAGATTAATGCACATGCTTCATTGATGAGGAACTTGGTTTCTACAAAGCTTGCAGGAGACGAACAGAGAGCACATGGTCGCAAAGCAGAGAACGTGGACGGCAGTGATGGAGACCTAATTACTTCCGTTGATCGGGGATCAAACCCGGGATCTGCGGAACCCATCACTCCTGCGCACACTGGCCAGTGTTTCGACATAACTGAACCAGACTGTCCCTACTGCCGACCGGATAGACACAAGAAGGCCTCAACCCCACCAACTTCTGGTACTTTAGGGGTACGATCCATCACTAGCATTTCCTCGAAAGCCCAACGTAACGCCACGGAGCCGGATGATCCTCTTGCGGAGGAACCTCTCGAAGGAGGTCCAAAGACGTCTGAGCCTCCGGAACCTTCGATTTCAGGTGAACAGCTGTTAAAAGCCGTGGATATTTCACCTGATATCACAACAGAACAGCGGAAGCTACTCGAGGATGTGATCGTGCGCAACAAGGCAGCATTTGGAATCGACGGTAGGCTAGGAAATTACGAAATTCAAGTGGAAATTCCGATGAAACCAGGAGCCGAACCTGTTTCTCTGCCGCCGTTCCCAGTCTCTCCTGCGAACCGGGAGGTCATTGATAAACAAATGGATTCGTGGATCCAACTCGGGGTGAT